TAGGAACCCAGCACGCTTTTCCCAAAAAGTGCTACTGAGTGCCCCAGTTTTCAAGTTCCTGACAGTTGCATCATTTTCGTCTGGTACAAGTCGCCCCGAAGATGGGGAAAGAAAAAAAAAAAGAATTGAAAAGAAAAATGCCAAGTCCGTATTCAGCAGCTGGGTCCAGAAGTGTCAATATTGACAGTGCGAAGAAAACTGTTGACTCTCGAATCGGCAAACTTTTGACTTTGCCCGGACTGTTTTCCTGAACTGCAGTCCAAGGAGGAAGACAGTGTGAACTTTTACGAGGAAGATCATTTAAATTTTTATCCCAGGTTCAAAACTCAGTGAAAATGGACAGACTCTAGTCCATTATTTACAGTGGAATTCTTGCCAAGGAAGATTTAACCGTCAGAATTACCCCCGGGACGAAGGCAGCAGGCTGAATTCGCCAGTAAACCCCCTTTAACCAAAGGAATAAAAAAGACAAATTATTGGTACAATTTTTCAGTCGTTCTACAAACGATGAATGAGAATGCCTTTGTCATCACAGATACAAAGTTGCAATGCCTTCCTGGTTAGGAAACTGTTTCTCAGTTACCCGTGTGAAACACATCATTTTCACAAGTGCTCGTGACCCGGGGGTGAGTTGTGGACTTTTCCGCCTTGGTGTCTCACGGTCTGTCCTTATTCCAGGTGCTGTGACGCGGTCCGTGTCATTTGGAGACGAGGAAGATCCTATGGCTGTAGCTGGCTGTCCAGACTCCTTCTTGCACCATCCTTACTACCAGGTACGGCTGAGCGTGGCTGTCAGGTCCCCGCGCTGGTGTTGGCCGAGGGCCCCAGCACAGGTGCATTTGCTAACCTGTCCCACTCCGTCGCTGCCGGGCCGACAAAGAGATGCCCAAGCCGGGGGGCGGTCCACCAGGCACCATTGCGTGGTCTTCTTTGCTTTGCCCTGGGAGAGCTTGTCACTGGGTCCCCTTTGACCATGGCATCCTTTTCTAAAAGGTGTTCATTGCAGCGCAGACTTGTCTGCGATGACGCGGGCACTTGGTCGTCCCCTGCTGGGCCCCCCAACATCTCCAGAAGGCGGGTGGGGACGGTGGCAGATGTTGGGATGAGTGAGTTCACAGGGCGCGGCCGGGGACCCTTCCCTGATGGCGTCCTTCCCCGCCGTGGTGTCAGGCAGGGCTTTGTGGGGGACCGGGCTCCCCCAGACCTCGGCACGGGCTGCTGGGCAGGTTCCACCTGTCAGTTTCCTTCCTCCGCTGAAGCCGACTTGCATTTGAACTTGCACTTTAGGACGTAGAGGGAGCCGTTCATCCTCAGCTCTCTGGATTTGGCGAGGGAGTCTGGGTTGATCCCGACCCATCCTTCAGCCTTGCAAAGACTGGTACCCATGTCGCTCTCCGTTCTCCCAGTGGGAACCCGACGTTTTGTGTGCTGTCCACCCTCCATCCGAGTTTCATTGTCTCTGACCTTCTTTCTCTCCCTTCGCCTGTGGAGTCTCTTGTTAGCTCCAAGGATGATAATTGGCCCGTAGCATCATGGCTGCTGACAGATGTCTTTGTCGTTGTTTGGGGGGTGTCAGAGAGAAACACACTGTCGGGGAGAGAGTGAAGGTTAGGAACACTGTTCCCCGTGATTACGGGGTTTGAGACAAAGCCAGAATCACTTTGTGGTGAGAAAAGAGGGTCACAACCTTAGCGGAGCCGGGGTGACCACTGGCCTGTTTAGTGGGTGGGCTCTGCTCCAGGCCTTGCCCTCTGCCTCTCGCGTGACCGTTCTCTGCTTCTCAGAGAGGCCGTGGTTGCCTCATCTTGTGGGTTAAAGCTCCGTGTTGTGTCCACAGGTTGTGGGCTCAACTCCCATGTGGCCAGTTAGCTTTGGCCGGTCCTCTGGGCCCAGAACGCACCCCTCACCCCAGCCCCCCGCCTCCTCGCACTTCGCACCGTTAGCCCCAAGGGGATGGCTTCAGTGACCTGCCAGGGAGACGCGCCCCGGGGACGCGTGTCTGCAGGGTAGCTGGGCAGTGTCTGCTTCCCTGGTACAGAGCAGACCTGAAGGGCCACGGGATGTCGGGCAGGTCCCAGCACTAAAGTGGCCCTTTGAGCTCATCCCACCGGCATCC